GCATCGGTTGGCTGAGCCTTCAGATTATTCCCATTGAATCTAGCGGCGTCATAATATACTGCATGCACCATGCAATTCCTCTAAAGAATGAATAATTTCCCAAGTAGGATTAGCAGCTAGAATTTCACAACTCTAGTGGTTGTTCGGCAACAATTTTAGGTGTCGCTGCTCGAAAGATATTTATTGGGGAATTTGTGCTTTCTGGCTGACGGAAATAACCCATCTATGCCCAAGAAAAAGCATCCAACAGATCGAGGTCTTCAGTTCTCGTTCAACATAGAGCTTACTCGAACTCAATAGAGCAGACCTCTTGGCATCAGAAACCGCATCAAAATGGCAAAAGGCGCGTTAAATCTAACAAAAGCGACCTCAAGTACACAGAATGCGGATCTGATGGAGGCTCCTCTGTTAGCTTTTGAGGAGAAAATACAGACATACATATATACACTTTATTTGGCATAGCATGTTAAAATTAAGGCGGCTAAAAATAGCTGATGTGGACCTGCTGTTATCAAAACAATTTACAATCACAATATAAAAATTAATAAATAGATAAATGGAGAGGAAAGGACTGACATCAAGCCAACAGAGCTTATCATCAACTAGAAGTACAGCTAGTCCGGACCCCTCTCTTGTTTCTACACCATCTACTACACGGTTTTCATTTCCTTCAGAGTCTTCTACTCCATCTTCATGTATTTCTTTGCCTTTCTCTGATCCTGTTTCTCCAATTTCCCCTCCACATGTAGAACATACACCACAAAGAATGCAGATCACTGCGCCTTCAGCAGAGAACGACCCCAAATATCTCTGCAGCGAGGGAGCTCTTCGAACTCTGTATTCTTTTTTTTTCTTTTTGTGTAACACTCTCTCCACAGCATGTTGTTATTGTGGAAAACCCCTTGATTTCAATTCACTGATCTTCAATCGAAAAAGTCATGTTGTGTGCGTAACAGTTTCATGTGTACGTGGAGTATCAATGAGATGTAAATAAGTGGCCCTGAATTCTGTAGTTTTGCCCAGGTGGCTCTCCTCCTCTATCATGGGAGGATCTCCTCCAAAGTACTATGTAAATTTGAGGTAAGTACCTTTTCGTTTTCTGCTGGAAATTTTCTGAAATTCACTCACTCGGTATTCTTGAGTTTTGTTGTAATTGGTCACTTATCTCCCCCTCTTTTTCATAGATTGATTCATGGAGTGCTGTCCTGTGGCTTGACAGAGACACAGTACACAAGTTTCCGTCAAGCAGCCAACATTGGGTCAGAGGTAGGAAAAACCTTTGACACAGGTTAGTAATGCACTTTCTCTAATGCTCCTAAAATCATATTGTACTTCTTCTTGCAAGCAAATGGCAAGATATAGCATAGTTCATGAACTCAAAGATTGCACAATTTTCTGTAAAAATGGAAAACCAGAAGCATTATACTTACTATTATTAATACTGATTTATTAATTTGTTTTTCTTTAACTTTTTTATTTATTACTCGGAGAAATNTGGAAAACCCCTTGATTTCAATTCACTGATCTTCAATCGAAAAAGTCATGTTGTGTGCGTAACAGTTTCATGTGTATGTGGAGTATCAATGAGATGTAAATAAGTGGCCCTGAATTCTGTAGTTTTGCCCAGGTGGCTCTCCTCCTCTATCATGGGAGGATCTCCTCCAAAGTACTATGTAAATTTGAGGTAAGTACCTTTTCCTTTTCTGCTGGAAATTTTCTGAAATTCACTCTCTCGGTATTCTTGAGTTTTGTTGTAATTGGTCACTTATCTCCCCCTCTTTTTCATAGATTGATTCATGGAGTGCTGTCCTGTGGCTTGACAGAGACACAGTACACAAGTTTCCGTCAAGCAGCCAACATTGGGTCAGAGGTAGGAAAAACCTTTGACACAGGTTAGTAATGCACTTTCTCTAATGCTCCTAAAATCATATTGTACTTCTTCTTGCAAGCAAATGGCAAGATATAGCATAGTTCATGAACTCAAAGATTGCACAATTTTCTGTAAAAATGGAAAACCAGAAGCATTATACTTACTATTATTAATACTGATTTATTAATTTGTTTTTCTTTAACTTTTTTATTTATTACTCGGAGAAATCATATCAATTGCCATGCAGGGTCACGGTACAAGCAGAATGGTTATGTAATGAGTAAAAAGGTATGTATGTTTGTATATTATGTGAATAGATAAAGCATCATTTCTGCAGATGTACCAACATGCCAGGAATCCAAATCGCCCGGCAGAGACCAAGGTGCTTACTGCAAAGACATTCAAATTCAGCAAAACTATCTGGTCTACCCTTTTTATATAATCTAAATAACTGATGTCCATTCTGCTTTCCAGTGATTCTGACTTTCTGTGATGATTTTAAATGGGAGCCCAAATGTCTTGTAAAAGATGTGAGGTAACCAGGGAGGAATAAATCCACAGCTTGAGCAGATTTAAGCATTGGGCTAAAGGGCTTTTTTTCAGTCATTTATTTCGGGTTTTGCTCAAAGCAGGCCTGCGGCCCACGGCCCACGGCCCAGTGGCCTGACAGCCTGAAGGCGCGGAGGCGCGGTGGCCAAGTCCTGATTTTCAACAGATTTTTTGTCCAGCAGTAAATCCACAAGCATGCACAGATCTGCATCGGGTTTGGGCGTGCAAAATGGATGACAGTGAGCTTGAATTCGTTTACCATTTAATCATTTGAATTCTTGTTTCTGTTTGTTGCATGTTGTTCAGATAAAAACGTTTTGATTCTCTGTTCATTAGTCTCTTTACAGAAACCGATAGCACAGTAGAGGACTTTCATTATGATGCAGGTTATTTTTAAACCATACTTTAAAAGTGAAAATATCATAACAACAAAGGAAAGGAAATATGAACCAAGGGTAAAATTGAAGCAGAACACAAACAAGAAAATTTGAATCTCTTGATGGAGGGGTTTGATTTTTTCACTTTTCGCCATGATCGAAAATTACTCCTTTTACACCCGAAATAATGCACCGTATTTCTTTGCAAGCCTCGAATAAGGAGCTGCCTCCTTGATGTCCGAAAGCATAACGTTGGAAAATCGATTGGTCACCCAACTGAGAAGCAGAGTTCGCTTGTTGACCTTGGTGACAATGATGAAAATGAGTAAGTACCACTAAGAGACTTACCCGAACACAGAATTTCCTTAGTAATTTACAAAAACATGTCAATGTAACGTACCATTGTGATTTCGGTATTTCTAGAGTCCTGGGACTGAGAGAACAATTTTTTACTTTAGCTTTACTGTTAAGTTAAACCCAATACAAAAAGAGGAAGATATACCCAAAATACCTGTCCTCCTCCCTGAAAAGTATAATTTTGACCATCTAGTTACCCAGCATGCCATAAGTCAAAAGTTGNATTTTATTTTTCAGTTCTCAGATGATGGAGCTTCTGAAACAAATGAGCTGACAATGTCAATTGGAAGTATGGTGTGCTGAAACTTTGGAGATCAGGTATGAAGTAGGGACTTCCAGTACCTCCTCTACTGTGTAAGTGTAAAAGAGAAAGATCAAGTAATACATGACCTCTGGAAGCAGCACACTGAAGAGATGAAAATGTTGGAAGGTAATGTTTTGACTGTTTGTGATAAAGAGTGAACTGTTGAATTTCAGCCAGGAGCAGACATGTCCTGGCAGAGCTGGGCTGCCAATGAACTCAACCAGGCAGCTACATATCCTTCCCCATATGCAAATGTTCATAAAGGAAACATGAACACTATGGGGGGTAGTATTGGAATGGGTAAAGATGACACCTGGAAGCCATATACTATGGAAATAAGAACCTCTAATACTGAAAAGGTAAACAAACTAGAAAACACTTTTGTTAGCTGGGTTAGTCTCTTTGCATCCTTTAGAAAGGATGAAACAGAAGCACAAACAAACCAACAACTGGCTCTTAGCAAGATAGGTGAGTATCTGAGGAATGCAGGGGGGCTTTTAATAGAATAGAGACCAATTCTGCTCAGATTGCAAAACTGAAAGAAGTGTGTAGTATGTGTTTTAACCTGATGTCTTTGTTTTTTTCATCCAGTGTTAATGTCACAACATGGACAGCTGGGTATGCCATTCCCTATCATGCAAATTTGCTGTTTACAATTAATAGGGTGGGCTATGGCATTGTCTCTTTGCAGGCTAAAGAGGCCAAACATTCTGGAGTGAAGAAAGATTTGACCTTAACTAACCAGTCAATTGTAAGTACCACCACTGTTAAAATGGTGGCAAGTAATGCAAAGTAATTATGTTCACTCATTTTACCTTCCAGAACATCAACCAATGCCCTCTTCTTATACCTCACACTACCAATCGCGTTCTCCGCCACACTGTTACCAATCAAATGTTTGTAATTGTGGTAGAAATAAAGAAAATGATTTCCTCAGTTGTCAAGTTTGTTTGTCGAGTATTGACCTTGTGACTTGTGCAAGCAGCAGAGGCCTGACAGATTCAGTGTTGTGTGCACTAAAACCCGTTGTCTGTCAACAGTGCAATACTCACTTTGCTGATAACTTATCACTGTCATCTCATTCTGCAAAGCCACTGAGGTAAGGTAAGAAGTGTAGCTATCAATCCAACTTTGATGACAGTACCTGGTTTAAAGGAAGCTTTACATAGTATAGGATTGAGCACAGGTAATAAGGAAATTCTAATCAATCGCCTTGAAGGTGCATTGGCTGGGGAAGGGTAGTTCAGTTATTTTTAATCAACAGTTTCAATCTCCCTAAATATTTGATTTTAATTTTATTTTTCTTGGTCAAGTTGGTGCACAGTTAGGCATACTTGCTATGAGAATGATAACTAAGCTCTCAACAAATTCTGTGTACCAGTAATGTGAGTAAAATGCCTACTTAATAAGAAAAATGTATTAAAATTGGTGCAAAATTGTTTAAATTAGCTGTTTGCCAGGGAGGTTAAACCTGTCAGAATGAAAAAGTACTGTTGTCACTGATATCACCTTGTATGCGCTGATATATTACATAGAAAACTATACAAACCCATTATTATTATTTTTTTTTTGTTTTTACCAATTTGCATTTTAGAGGCAGGGTTTCTGCTCTAATGTACATAAAGGTTTGGCCATCTAACCCTCATCCTCGGAGACCCAGGGGCTGTGGGTCGATTTCAAGTTAGGGCATGAAGAGCCCCTGGGGACATCGTCTTACAAGACTAGTTCCAAACGGTCGCCTTCGTTCTGCCATCTGATTGGTGCCAGAAAATCTGTGTTTTTCTGCCCAATCAGAGTGAAGTGTGCTTTAGAGTCCTTTCGTGTGTTTTAACACGGACATATACTAGTAGCTCAGTTGCTCGCTATGATTGTTTGGACCTTGTGACGGAGATTTGCTCGAGGTGAAAAGTTTCAGTCTCAGCACACAATGTAAGAGAAATCGATCTGATGTCCGCGAAAATCTTACCGGAAATTATACTGAATACTTTCGCAGGTATCAGTAGAGAACGTGTTTTAAAGTTTGCGAGGTTTGTATACAACACGATGGTTGCAGTCATTGATATGTCGCTTT